TCCATGTGCTCTGGTTTCCGTCACGGGTTCCGTTGCACCAGAAGCGGTTTAGTCATGCTGGCCACATGACCCAGAAAGCTGTCTGTGGACAAACGCTGGCTCCCTTGCCTTGAAAAGTGAGATGAGCGCCGCACCCCATAGTCACCTTTGACTGGACTTAACCATCCAGGGGTCCTTTACCTTTACTTTTTTACTAGGGCTGTTCGAGTGGTTTGTCCAAATCCCAAATACAGGAAGGTGTATTCGGACCAAAGCACAGTTCCTCCCAGGTGATGCCCCTCCAAGGTTATCTGGGGGGGGGGGGGTTAACTCCTTCCATGTAATCTAAGACAGACAGCCCACCTCCAGATTGATAGAAAAAAATATAAACAAAACCGTGTAAAGCCAGGAGAAGGGGGAGAGCTGGAATTTGCTTATTGAGAGCTGTAGCTTCCAATCCAGGGCAAGAATCTCACCAAACACTCTCCGATCACAGACCCTCCAAATATTCCTATTTTCCAGAGAAAGTCCCATATTTTCAGAAGCTTTCCCAGTTTCTGATTTGATCCTGGAATGTCCTGCTTTTCCTTAGGACGTCCCAACTTGCATCAAAGAAATGTTGGAGGGTATGGAGTTATCTGATCCTGGAGCCATCTGAAGGCAGTCCTGTATAGAGAAGGGGTTTTTTTATGTTTAATGGTTTGTATTGTGTTTTTATATATGCTGGAAATTTCCCAGAGTGGTTGGGGCAACCCAGTCAGATGAGTGGGGTATGAAAAGTAAAATCATCATCATCATCATCATCATGTAATATGACGTCCCTATTTTCATCAGGGAAATGTTGGAGAATATGTGATCACAGTGCTTGTTTTGGTGAAGATTTAAAAGGATATGCTCTGCTTTCACTGCCTCACTCATGTAAGTTCTGCTTTGAGAATGTTAGAAATTGTTTGTTGTTGGCATTTGGGTGGCATTTAGTTCAGCTTGTCTTTAATCCTTCAATACCCTGCCCGCTCTTATTTTCCATCCTGTCACAGGTTTTCAGTGCAGGATTCATCTCCTTTGGGGGGTGGTGTGTGGAGTTCTTCCTAGATCATAAGCTAATTCTTCTCATGCCCAAGAGTGCTAGATTTAACATTTTTATTTTTATTTTTGACCTATATTTGCAGATGCATTGGCTAAAGCTCCTCAATTTAAAGCCTTGTTTTTTAACAATAACAACAACCACAACCCTTGCAGAAAATGTGAGCTATGGATGCCCACTTGATCCTTTGAAATGTCTTCCTGGCAGTTTATGTCCAGGTTTCTCACACAAAATGGCATTCTACCAGCTTCAAAACTGGTACGCCAATACACTAATGCATGTATCCTAGCAAAGGTTGAGAAAGCAAAGGCAGATTATACACAGCTGTAGCCACCATATGGCCTGCATTAAAAAATCACTCCTTTGAGAATGCTAAATCAATATAGGGCCAACTGTTCCTTCTTGTTCAGCCACTGCATAGGTCTAGAGCCCATATATATGAAAATAGAACTTTTGCCTGTTCCAAAAAGGCTGGTGTTGCATAATAGTTACCTGCTTAAAATGTGAAGGACAGAAGTCAAATCTCAGCTTAGCCAGCGACTTACAAGGTGGTTTTAGTCATTTCACTATCATTTGGCCCTACCATCTCTGTCTTTAATAAGGGGAGTATGTGTTGCAGATATTAAATATCGTGCAGTTTGAAGCTACTGGAAGCATAAGAACTGACTCCTTTGGAAATTCAACATTGTCCAGGCCTGTGGAAACTTCATTCAAATTTTACTAGCAGAACTTTCTTCATAACAGATCTAAAACATCAAGTGTACATCTGCTGTCCAGCACAGGCTCAGCATCTTACAAAATATGAAATGATCCAATCAGACCTATAAGCAGAGATCTCTGTCTCTCGAGCCTGCTTTTGGGGAGCCATTATCACATGCTTGTAATGTTCGGAGGAAGACTAACAACCACCACCCTTTCAAGATGGCGAATTTGCAACTCAGTGCCTTCATCACATGATTAAAGGTTCACTCTCAGTTTATCAACAGGTAATCATTAACTAGTTACAGATTAGAGTCCTTTAGAAAAACTCTTGTGGACCCCCACCCCCCCAGTATTAGACCAGAAGTCTAAAGGGTTGTATTTTATGAAGTTTAACTTAAGAGTAGACCCATTGAAGTTAATGGACCTAATTGAAGTCATTTTCTACTCTAAGTAAAACTTAGTTGAATGTCACCCAAAAACCTTAGAAAAGCTATTCATCGAAATAAGTCTAATTTTCAGGAAAGTCAGAAAAAGGGACAACCCACTGTGTGTATGAGCTGAAGATGCAAACTTTAAGTAGGCAAGTTTAAAAATGTAATTTTTGCACTCAAACTGAAGACTTGCATCAACTGAGCTTTTAAGTCTGTCAAGCAGACCAGTTGAAAATAGCTGCAGACAGATCCTAGTGCAGTGAAATGAAGGGATTCATTAAGCCCAATTGGGTTCAGTGAGTTGATCTTGGTTCCCATTGAAAATAATGGACTTTAATCGTGATGACTAGCTTGTCTAATTTCTACAGGTGTTACGTTTAGCTCATTTGCTATGAATCCAGCTTACACTACTGTACTTTTCTAAAAGAATTCTGGTTCAATGGGGCATACTCTGAGGTTATGTGGGTACACGACTGAAGGCCTAAGCATTTATTCTAGCCCAGAAATCTTACACTGTGGGATTTCTTTCTTTCTTTCTTTCTTTCTTTCTTTCTTTCCTTCTTTCCTTCTTTCCTTCTTTCCTTCTTTCTTTCTCTTTCTTCCACTCACCACATTATACTAGCGATGCTCCTACATTTTGTCCATTTGCTCACCTATTCCAACATTTAACTGCTTTTCCTGTGTAACGGTATTTGCATGGGCATCACATTGCATAAACTACAAGTTTGGCATTGCATACTGGACAATCTCAGAGGACAGGTTCCATTGCCATCCACAGGGTTAACAAATAGTTTTAATTTCTTGCAAGGAGTGCAATATGAGTTCAATGACCAAAAGGAAAATTATCCTTAGGGCAGCTTGAGCATGGAACTACCAACAGCATTTATAATTCATAGCACATGTCCTAGAGATATCATTTCTCACCACCCAATCACTTGATATTTGTCTCATCCATTTTATATTATTTTCAATCGCATATTCTAATATTGATGAGATTTGGGTTTGTAATACTTTCATCTTATGTATTGCATCCTTATTTTTTGGTTCTTTAGCTATTATTTTTCATTTAGCGATATCTCTCTTCTTATTTGTTCTAATTTTTCTTCTTGTATTCTTTTAGATCTCACGTTTGCTGTATATAAAATCCTCTTATAAAGATTTTTCTCGTGTCCCATTAAATTCTAATGTCAGTGTCTTGTATTTTATTTATTTAAAAAAATTCTTTTAGTGCTTTTTGTGCTTTGTTTACTATCTCTTCATTGTTAAATAAATTATTGCTCAGTCTCCACCTTTTGTTTATCTTCCCTTTATTCCTTAATTCCAAAACTATTGCATTATGATCTGTTAATATTTTTGGCTGGATCTTTACTTTGCGTATTTTAATTATGTTGTGTATTTTAATTTTATTGCGTATTTTAATTATTAAATTATTAAATTATTTGTTTTAAAATTATTTGCAATTATTAAATTATTTGTTACCCATATACCATTAATTCTTCCAGCTGATTGTTTAGCTACTGAAAAATGTGTATACTGATTCCTGTTTGGATTTTTATATCTCCATGTATCCCTTAAATTTAAGTTTTCTGCCATTTGGAAAAATGAATGCAGCAGTCTCCCTTTCCTAGATTTCCTGACTCTTTCTGTTCTGTCTAGCTCCAGTGAAGCAACCCCGTTTAGCTCACCCATTAGGATGATCTCATCATGTATGTAATCTAATAATCTCTCCTCTACTTCTTTAAAGTACTTTGTTTTGTTACCATTTGGTGCGTAGATTCCTACAACTTCTATTTGTTCCCTTCCTCTTGTTATCTTTACTCCTAGTATTCTGTCTTCTTCATCTTTAAAGACCTGTTTAGCCTCTAATTTGGGATTTATATAAATAACAATTCCTCTTTTCCTTTTTATATCTAAAGAGGTAAATTCTTGACCTAATCTCTTGTTTGTTAGTACTCTCTCATGTTTTCTGGCTACATGGGTTTCTTGCAGGCAGATGATATCGCAAATCTTTTTAAAAAAACACACACGTTTTGTTTCTTTTTAATTTATTATTGAGCCCATTAACATTTCACGAGATCATCTTCAAATCCATTACACTTTATTTATATTTATCTAACCCCCTGTTATCTTTAGTTACAACAACAATCAAACAAACTAAACAACAATCCAATGTATTATGCTGTGATGTCTTAACTCCAATGGTGTTCGTGAATTTCTTTTATTGTCTTCACTAGTTTTCTTGTGGTTTTTCTACTCCTTCTTTGGATTTGATTTGATATCCCGCTTTATCACTACCCGAAGGAGTCTCAAAGCGGCTAACATTCTCCTTTCCCTTTCCTCCCCCACAACAAACACTCTGTGAGGTGAGTGGGGCTGAGAGTCTTCAGAGAAGTGTGACTAGCCCAAGGTCACCCAGCAGCTGCATGTGGAGGAGCGGAGAAATGAACCCGGTTCACCAGATTACGAGTCTGCCGCTCTTAACCACTACACCACACCGGCTCTCCTCTCTTTCTGATGATGTTTCTCCCAGTTCTTTTTTGTACCTCCTCCGAAATTTTTCTGCTTCGTCTATCATTCTTAAGGTTCTCCTTTTTTCTTTGTAGGTAAATGTAATTCCCTCTGGGAATTCCCATCGAAGTCTTATTGAGTTTCTGTTCAGTGTGTCTGTTAATGGTCTGCAGTTCTGTCTGTTTTTCAATAATCTTTTTGGAACCTCCTTGAATACTTTGATGTTTTTGTCATCTATTTTTAATTTACATTGTCATCTTTTTAGTAAAAAATTGTCCTTTCCCTTTGCCTTTGCCATGGCGTGGGCCTTTGCCTTTGCCTTTGCCGTGACCTGGTCCTTCACCTTCGCCTTTGCCTCCGCTTTGGCCTGGGCCGTTGCCTTTGCCTTCTCTCTGGCCCGGATCTTTGCTGTTGCATGCACCCTGGCCCAGGCCTTTGCCTTTGCTTTGGCCCAGGCCTTCGCTTTTGCTTCCGCCCTGGCCTGGGCCTTTGCCTTTGTCCTGACCCAGGCCTTCACTTTTGCCTTTGCCCTGATCTGGGCCTTTGTTGTGGCCTGGGCCTTTGCCTATGCCTTCGCGATAGCCCAGGCCTTTGACTTCACCTTCGCCTGGGCCTGGGCCTTTGCCTTTGCCCAAGCATTCGCCTTTGTCTTTCCCTTTGCCATGGCCCAGGTCTTCGACTTAGCCCTGGCCCGAGCCTGAGCCTTCACTTTCACTTTTACTGTCCATGACTCCCGAGCCTCCCCTGATCTCCTGCCCCCTTTCCTCTTTGTTTTGACTGATCGGGGGAGGTGTGGGAGTCACGGACGGTTGTTCATAGCCCAGGAGGGGTGCAAGGCATGCAGTTTCTCTCTGCCAGGCAAGGTGCAAAGCCCTTCTTTCACACCCTGTGAAACATAAATGCACAGAGTTTTTTTAAAAAAATGTGGGCAATGGCACACCACCCACAACTCCTGAGCCTCCCCCCGATCAGTCAAAACAAAGGGGGCAGGGAGCAGGAGATCTGTACTGATGGACATCCCTGGTTCCCCTTCAGCAGTGGCAATGGCAGTCAGCAGCCCGGAGACAGCCTGGTAGTGCAGTAGGCTCTGGCTGGCTTCAGGAACTGCTCGCTGCTCACGGCTGTGGCGCTTGCCATTTTTCCTCTCCAGAAGTCCCCATATGATGGGTTGCACACAAGACACATCATATGGGGGCTTCCAGAGAGGAAAAATGGCAGTCGCCATAGCAGCGGGCAGCTCCTGAAGCCAGCCAGAGGAAACTGTGCTACCACGCTGGCTCCGGGCTGCTGAGGCTGCTGAGGCTCCTGCTGCCACATTTCCCGGGGAGAGATCTGCAAATCTGGGGACATTCGGGGACGGAATTTGTCTGGGAACAGATTTGCAAATCCGGGGACTGTCCCCGGGAACTGGGGACGTCTGGTAACCCTAGGCAAACCCCACCTTAACAGTCCCAGAAGGGGAATGCATTCTAGACCACCGCTTGCAAATCCCTGCCGTCAGACGCATTCTCAGCAGGAAGCAATTGAAAAGCAACCTAGCAGATTAAAACCATATTTGTCAGAAACAAGAAAACTGATGAAAAGCACTGTTTTGCCATAGGGTGAACATGCTGTCTGTAAAGTATTGTGCTTACAGGAAACAAAGACAAAAAGGTGGGTATGACAAACAGACAGGAATTTGAGGAAAGAACGAGACAATGGTGCTCAGCTTCATAAGAAATGATTCCAGCATGGACAGTTTCCACATTCTTCTCAAATCTTCTGCAAGCTTTGTTGTAAACAAAAGTTTGACAAAGAAATCTGAAAGGTTACTAGGATTTTGCAAGGTTGTAATGAAGAAACTGGACCTGGAATTGAATCTAAGGTGGGAAGCAAAACATAAAAAACTGCTTTGTACTGAGTCAGACCATTGCTCCACTGAGAGGCAGAAGCTCTCCAGGGATTGAAACTGGGACCATCTGCATGGAAGGAAGATGTTCTATCACTCAGCCCCTAGATTAGGATGGGGAAACAGTAAGATTACTGGGTAACACACACACACACACATACCAGAAGCTTTCTTATTAGGAATTGTAGGTACCAACATCCCAAAGGAGCAGAAAATAGCCACAAAGATGCTACTAGATGGAAAGACGACAAAGTCCCTAGCAGAGAGGAATGGCAAATCAAGCTGATGGACTCTGCCGAGATGGCAAAACTGACTAGAAAACTCAGGAACCAAGAAGGCAAAAAGTTCAAGAAAGAATGGGGAAAAAATGATAATTTATTTAGGAGACCACTGTAAGCAGTTAAAAACATTAGCAGGATTTTAATAGCACTTGTGATGTAACAATCACTATGGACAATATGGAGAGATACAGAATATGGCTCATGAAATAATATGCAGTTGAAAATGTTAACAATAAGACCCTTGGAGGGGATGGTGGGAAGTCTGGAGATTCAGAGAAATCTCAAATATGGATATGTACTTGGTATTATTATAACTTTATGCTTGCAAAATCAAATAAAAATTATTATTATTATTTTTAAAAAGATTACTGAGTAAATAATATCATTGTATCATCAAGCTTACAGTGGAAAGCTATAATTATTATTATTTTTTTAAATATGTATTTTTAGTTGTGGAAAATAGATATTATATGTACAGCTTGCTATGCAATAAAGGAACATTATATGAAAATGAGATATAGATGGTAAAAAGAGATGGTTAAGTTGTTTCTGTATGCTACTAGCACAGCCAGAATCCTATATGCGCAGAAGTGGAAGAAAGAAGTCCCAGCCAAAGAAGAATGGATTTTAAATTAATGGACTATGCAGAGATGGTGAAGTCGACAACAAAAAGAAGAGATAAAAAAGGGAAACTTTGTCGAAGAGTGGAGGTTCTCTTCAGACTATTTGACAAAAAAATTATAGTCAATAACACGGAAGAGAAGGAGAATAAATAAATGATTGTAATATGTTATAATACAATAGAAAATAAATGGCAGTTATGGTAAAAGATAAAGGAATACAACAGGAATATCACGGATGTAAGGATGGGATGTCAAAAGGTAAGAAATAATTATACTTAAAGTGATTTGAATAATGTCAAGTTTTGTGTTACACACACCCGATCTGTAATTTGAAGCACCATATTAAACAACTCTGCCATCTTATGTCAGGAACAGCCTCGAGTTATTATGCCAGTGGCACAATCTTCCGTACAAGTGTTTAATGAAAAATATGTGCTGGTTTTTGTGTGTTTTCAATGGCCATAGTAACACGACAGGCAACAGGAGGAAGAACTTCAGTCATTTGTTATTAGAGACTTCTGCTAATTATAATTCTGTCAGCCCAAGGCAAGCCTTAAGGCAGTACCAAATTGGTTTGGTTTCTGGAGGCGACCACAGCATGAACCACAAAAATCATACATCTACTGTTTCATTCAGACTATTTTTTTCTTGTTTTCCTCTTCTAAAAACTAATTGCGTCTTATGGTCATGTGCGTTTTATGGAGCAAAAAAAGGGGTAGTTCCATATGTCCATTTTTAGAAACTAAAAAGAGCTCTACTGGATTAAACCAAGGGCCTTTTTGGTCCAGCTTCAACTCTCTGGGAATAAGACCAAAGTGTGCAGCTTTAGTTGATACTGAAAAATCACAGTACCGTGGAACCTCGGGTTAAGGCAGGGATCCGTTCCAGAGGCCCCGCCTCAACCTGAAAACGACACAGGACAAAGTGTCGCATCTGTGCAGGCGCGCAGAGCAGTTTTGCACTTCTGCGCATGTGCAAAGCGTGATTTAGCACTTCTGCGCACGCGTGAGCGGCAAACCCGGAAGTAACCCACTCTGGTACTTCCGGGTTTGCCGCGGACGTTTGCCGTGATGAACGCTAGAGGAGGCGGATGTTCGCAGGGGTTTTACTGTATGTATGAACATGATTTGAGGTTCACTTTTCACCCGTGAAAAGTATGCAATCCAAGGTCCTGATCTTGTGGCCTCTTATCCAGTTTTGTTCAATATCTCTATTAGACATTTCTTTTTTTATTTGGGGGAGAAGACCTTTGGCAAGCTATCTAGCACTCAGCTCCAGAGGCAAATGTGTCAGAAAGTTAACGACGTTCAATCTATGCTCATTGCAGATTGACCTTAACCGCTGCCAAGACTCTGTCATGTGACGGCAATATAGCCATTGTTGCTAAGTGCCCTATTATTAATCTTTCTAATGGAAAATGAAGAGGGCAGAATTTACTGTAGATACTTTGAGCAAATAAAGCCAAAAGGGAGTGATCGTGAGAAGACTTGGCAATCTCTGCCCTGTTTACAATTCAGGGGAAAGGGCCTACTTTGGGTACTTACCATATTTTTTGCTCTATAAGACTCACTTTTTCCCTCCTAAAAAGTAAGGGGAAATGTGTGTGCTTCTTATGGAGCGAATGCAGGCTGTGCAGCTATCCCAGAAGCCACAACAGCAAGAGGGATCGTTGCTTTCGCTGCACAGCAATCCCTCTTGTTCTGGCTTCTGGGATTCAGAATATTTTTTTTCTTGTTTTCCTCCTCCAAAAACTAGGTGCGTCTTGTGGTCTGGTGTGTCTTATAGAGCGAAAAATACGGTACTTACTTTTTCTTTCTTTTTCAAAATAATTTTTATTTGGTTTTACAAATTTAAAATTATAATCATACCACAACAAATCCACAATTCAAAGATTCCTCCTTCCCCTCCATGGGTTCTGTTGTTACCCTTTTTCTACTGCATCTTATTTCAATAGTCCAAGGTTTTTTTGGTAACTCCATTATATCCATAGTTCTTATTACAAGTGTTATTGCAGCCCTGCTAGTGTTTTCAACTGCTTACAGTGGTCCTCTACATAAATTATAATCCCCCCCCCCAATTCCTTATTAAATTTTTGGTCATCCTAGTTTCTGAGCTTTCCGGTCATTTTTGCCATTTCAGCATAGTCCATCAACTTAATTTGCCATACTTCTCTAGTAGGGACTTTAAATTCTTTCCATCTCCACTTTGGGTACTTACTTTCAGTCGACTACTGAGCACAGTCTGTAGAAGTTATTTGTCCCTTAATTTCAGGGACTTTCTGGCATCTTCTTTACTTTAGCACTTACTATCATACACTATTTCACAGTCATTTAAGTTTGGCGGGGGGGAGGTGAACTCCCTCTTTGTGTCACAATGAACACAAGCAATTCCATCGGGTGGAGGAAGACCAGAGTCACAATTCTGTAGTTCTGAAGAAATGGGCACTGCACTCCCTAAATGGTTTGCATGTGTGAATGGACCACCAAGAGCTCATTCAGATTAGGGATGAGTGAAGCTATCCATTTCAGTTTCTCTCCATTTCTCATTTTCCCCCAATCTTCGCTTTGCCCTATTTCCTCATCCAATTGTCAATTTTTCTTTTAAAAGTTTGCATGGAAATGCAGACTCATTTTCATGCACAGCTCTCCAAACGGTACACATTTCTGCATGCAATTTTGCATTTCTGCAATTTCTGCACCCAACATAATGCATTTTGGCACCATTAGATATATTCTTATATGCATTTCCCCCTAAATTACACCTTGTGCACATTTTGTGGCTGGAGATCTGCATCAAAAATTCTGAAGAAGGACAATTTTTTAAAAAGCAGCTGTTTTTGGGTGTATGCACTGGTTTGGGGAGTCTGGATTGGGCAGGTTTTCATTAAAACACAAACCATACTGAGGACG